ATTGCCCCACCTTCCTTCTGAGGAGTGGCTGGTGGGTTTGAACCGCCAGCCTTCTGGTTAGCAGTCAAGTGCCTTAGGCACTAACAGGCACCCCAAGAGATCCTGTGGCAGGTGGTCTTGTGGACCATGCTTTGAGCAACAAATGAGCCCAATTCAGGATGGAGGAAACGTTCAGAAAGGGCACTGGAAAGGGCACCCAAGACTTAAGCTAATACGAAAGAGAAAAATAGCAGTTTTGTCTAATACTCAATTTCTTGCAAGTTTCCAACTATTGCTTTGCCCTCCAAATCCCACTGCTGCTAACCTTCAGGGGTGAACTGTCTATGTCAGGGATACACCTTTCTGAACCATCTCTCTGTTCTCAGGCTTCCCATCCCTTTGGGTACATCTGTTAAGCAGGTGGCTTCTGTGTGGCCGCTCAGAGTCCTGTATATGCCCAGTACATGCCAATGTACCAAAGGCCAGGAAGTCTAACCCACCCTCCCAGACAGGTGGGAAAGCTTAATAATTCACACACAGGCAATGCAGGTGCAGCAGCTTTTAAGTGGCAAACGGAATAGTTGATACAACCAGAGGCCAGCAAACTTGCCTACTGTCTGTCTCCTGTCCTCCTTCTCTTACCCACGAGACCAAGGTCCTCTGCTCTGCCTTTCTGAAGTCCTGGCCCAGGCTTTACAAATTCAGACCTTTTCTAAGCCTTGATCCAACACCCTGCTCTCTTGGGGCTTCTATCAGAAGGTCGAGGAAAGGCTGACTCACACTCAGATGAAAACGAATTAACCCTGTCATGAAATCGGAGCATTCTGAAAGAATCGAGCTGACTCTGGATAAGATGGGTGTCTGAGGAAGCTTTTCTGTGTCCTCTGTCCACTCCAGAGGACTCTCCCACTACCGTACTCCAGGGCCAACCAGAATTCCGCTTGACACCCACTTCTGAAGGATAGGTAGTCCAGGTTTAGATCATTATTCAAGTTGTTCTTTGTTTTGAACTTTGCAATTCTTCTGTCCTAAAAATGTTGATAGAATAACAAAATGGATTGGCCTAAACTTCCTAAATCTACTCTTCATTTGTCTTGGGACTGGCAAGGTTTCTACTTTACTACACCCTATCTTTCTGTCATGTTCACGGCAAACTAGCATCTAGTTGCATTGTTTATTTTTTGTTGGTGGTGCATCCTTTCCTCTGCATGCCAATTATGAGGAGTCCCTTTGATACTCAGCACTTGACCACCTTTTCTACAAGGGAAGGTGGAGGAGACAATTTCCTCTTGTTGTTATGTTGTAACTGTGTGAGAGAAACACACCTCCCTTCTCAACATGGAGGGAGTTGTGTCAAGTGAAATAGTGGATAGGATAGGACAGCATTCATTTAACACGTGGCGGGGGGGTGGGGGTCGGTCTAAAGAGCACTAGAGAATAAGTGTGTGCTGGTCTCTGCTTCCAGAAGTTTCTCTCACTATAAAACCATAATCCCTCAAAAATTCAGTTAGCTGTTTTGGACCTCTTTAGAATAAGAAGGTGCCTCTCCTACATACTACACAAGTATAAGCTAAAAGGAGGCCTCAAATACATTCTGCACTGTAAAGATTTTATTTGGAATAGCTTCAGTTTCCCTTCATGTAAACAACTGCATATTGACTTAATCTCTCCCTCTCCCTCCTTCTGTTTTTCCCCCTCCCTAAAAAGCTACCACATCATCCTGGACACCCTGGTTATATCAACTTCAGCTATGAGGTAATTTTTCTCTTTACTAATTTTGACCATTGTTTTGAGTTAACAATGCCTTGGGCTCTGTAAAGGATAGTGTGTTGATTCTTCATTCAAAATGCTTCTCTAAGGGTCCCATTTTTCAGTTCCTGCCACCAGCTTTTCAGATTAAGCCCTGATGGGTCGCAGAAAGCCTGCACTGCCCCAGCACCTTTCTATCCCGCCTCTCTGACTCAGTCTCTGCTCCTAGTTAGAGCTATAAACTTCTCCATCACTCAGGGAGGCTTGATGCTATGGCACAAAGGGAACTGGGGCCCAACAGCCTTGTTCTACCCTGGCCTGGAAAGTGTGGGAATAGTCAGATGCTATCCAAGATCCTTTCCAGTTTGAAAACCTCTGATCCTAAGACATTCGCACTCTGTGTGTCTCCTTAATTCGACTTTACTGAAAGAACAGTGGCCAAGTGGTCTCTGAGAGACTCTGCAAAGCATTGGGAAGAGAGTTCTGGAATCCGGTTGAGGCGCTCCTCACCTCGTACTAACCATGCATGACTTTGGGCAAACCGATATTCTCTCCCTGGAATTTGGGTCTCCTTACCTTGCAGAGGGAATAATAACAACTCCCTAAAATGCTGTCTGGGGAGTTCACAAATATGAAAAGGGCTCTGTCATGGTTAATAATTGTGTTGTACTGATTTAAATGTTATATTACTATATGAGGGAGCCCTTTGAACCCCGAGTATATACTGTTCAGAAAGGAAAGAAACTCTCCCCTCTCTCACTGGTTCAGGTAACGAATGGTCTATGAATCTGTCACTCATACAAATGGAAGAAAACGTTAACAAAATCTGAGGCAAAACTTTCTGCCGAAAGTTCAAAAGGTTGATGTATTTGACCAGTAAACCTATGTTTCCAGGATGGGGGACAGTGTTTCTGCCTCCTCTTAATTTTTTTCATTGTGACAGCAAATCAAAAAGGACAAAATAAATACTGGGCCACATTTATTATGGTGATTATTTGCTCTGGCAATGAAGGGCAAGGGCTGTGGAATTAAACAGACTTACCACTCCTAAAATCTTAGTCAAGTTCATGAGCTTCTCTCTGTAACTCCCTATGACTTTGCTTCTTGACTCAGAGCACGTGAGAAAACATGAAACATGTGTGTGGTGCACGCAGTGCAGTGCCTGCCACATGGGACACCTCTGACAAATGCGTACCTTCTCTTGCCTGCAGAAGTCACACTTTCAGGCTGCCAATATTGACAGGCTTGCGTGAGTGAGTTTCTATTTCATGAGCTTAAGTTAAATGTATTCTAATGTCTCCTTCTCTTAAGGTGCTCACCCCTTTGAAGTGGTACCCGAACATGATAAGGCAGCGAGTATGTAGCTATTTTGTTCTTTATTCCCTTAAAAAGTCAAGTCTGGATCTAAATCCCCTTATCAAGTGAAATAACAGGTCTCCTCCACATACAGACACTAATGAGATAATAAGTGTTGGGAATAAGTCACAGCTGTGTACAACCAACCAATCGAGTGCTGTGGAGTGCATTCTAATTCATGGCAACCTCAGGCCAGAACTGTGTGTTTCATGCCGTTTTCAGTGGTCTGTGTACACGGTTAGAAATCCTTGCAAAGGAATAAAAAAGGAGGGAAATATTCATATGGCCAGAATGACAAAGAAAACATTGTTACTTGTCCCACTGGAGGTCAACGGAGCCAATGGTAAAAGTGACTCTCTGTTTCTCACCAGTACCCTTCCTATGGTTACGAGCCCACGAGTGGATGACTGCATCACCAAATCGTCCCTGTGCAGCAGCATCCCCTGAGCCACACCCTGTAGCCTCATCACCACATCCCCATGGTGCCTCCTCAGCAGCCCATGGTCCCCCAGCAGCCAATGATGCCAGTTCCCGGCCGACACTCCATGACCCCAACGCAACACCACCAGCCACATCTCCCTCCACCTGTCCAGCAGCCCTTCCAGCCCCAGCCCGTCCAGCCGCAGCCACCCGTGCACCCCATCCAGCCCCTGCTGCCACAGCCACCTCTGCCTCTGATGTTCCCCATGAAGCCTCTGCCCCCCTTGCTTCCTGATCTGCCTCTGGAAGCTTGGCCAGCAACGGACAAGACCAAGCGGGAAGAAGTGGTGAGTGCACCTTGAAGCCAGCATAGTACAAGTCCTGGGGAGTTGGGGAGCAAAACAGACCCCCAGAGTTCTGAGTACTCCAACAATCCAGGCCCTAGAGCTGCAGTAGCTCCAGGTCTATGATTCTATTTGTCTAAGGCATGTAGTGTAACTTTACATTTTAAACAAATCTGTTCCTCTGCATGACTTAGCAATTAAGACCAGAGATCTTATGGCTGTTCAAATTCTACAATTACTTTGAATTCCAACTAGAATACATATTACCCATCTATTTTAAGGGCAACAACATGAGGGAATATCAGTTCTCGGTATCATCCAAGGGTTTCACTTGTAAAATTAGTCTAGAATTTCACTGAAGGTATAAAAAGGGAAGTTTCTGAGAGTCAAGAGACACAAATATTGGAACAGGCAACAAAAGGGAGGTGGGAAATCTCTTAAAAGACTTTAGGGAAGATGACCTGGGAAATGAATGCCAATTTAACTTGGAGGCAGTGAACCTGGATCAACTGTAAGACCCCCTGTCAGTGATAAGAGTCTCTACATTAAAATTTCAGCAAGAAATTTTCATAATTTAGCTCAAAATCTCCTTCCAATAAGGGAAGCACTTCCAAATGCATAGGAAATAGTCAATAAGGAGACCTCATCCATAAACCCTCACTTCTGTGTGGGATTCTACAATTTATGAATGCTACTGGTGACATGCTACAGAGAAGCAGGGAGGGGTAACATGGCAGAGAACTGGATAGTGGGGGGGGGGCCCAGGCCCTTGGGTTCTAGTAATGGCTTTGCCCCAAAGAGGAGAATGGTATGGTGTGAGTTACTTCAATCTTATGGGTATTTGTTTTCCCTCCTTCAAAATGGGGGTGGGATTCCTGGGCAAGATGGCGGACTAGGCAGAAAGACTGCACAGACCCTCTTCAACAAAGAAAAGGGAAAACAATTAACACAGCCACAGAAGATAATCCTGGACCCCTGAACCTTGAAGGGAAGGATA